ATTAGACAATAATTTCCAGGCAGCCCCGGGGAAACAAGAGCTCTGTGAGTACAGCTGCTGGCTCTGGGCATGTGAGTTACTGTGGTTCCCACCATGGTGTGACAAAGACCACCCAAGCCAAAGCCCAGCCCTGTTTATAGGGAAGGTGGAGACCAGTGTGGTGTTAGGAGAAGAGGTGATGGCAGTTGCCACCATTTTAGAACCAGGGAAATGAAAGGGGCCAGGGCTGGGTTGGCCTAAAGCAGGAAATCAGGCCAATGACTACAGCCTAGAGGTGGGAGAGTAGGGGATGCAGGCAAGGCTGTGTGGAAATTGATGGGAACACCAAACTGGGTCTGGTGGGTGCTCATGCTATTTTTGAAATGGATTGAGACTTACTTCATGAACTAGTAAGTAGTTCATATTGATTAGCTAAGTTTTTCTGCAAAGACGAAATTTCTTCCTCACAATCTTGAGCCGACTTTGCTACTTGGTTGTAGATTTCTATGGCAAAGCAGAATGCTTATTTTTTTTCTCTTAAAAACCATTTGAGAGTAGGAAGTTGGTATTATAGCCAATGCCAGTGGTGACAAAAGGATTGCTTTTCTTCTTCTTCTTTCTTTTTCCTTTTTTTGGTTTACAAGTTTTAACTTATTACCTTCCTGGAGAATTGAACTTTTTATGATTATGTACTGACTCTCTTTATCTTAAAGGCATTTTTGTCTTTTTGTCTTAAATCTCTATTTAAAAATAATGTTTATAAAGCTTCACCAGCTTAAATTTGGCTGAGTAGTTGCTTTCATATCTTTATCAACCTTTTTAGTTTTATTGGTTCTGTAATGTAGTGTTTTGGGGTTGTCTCATGAATAACAGGCAATTTAGTTTTACATTTGTATCCATTTTGATTATATATAGTAGGCAGTTTAACATTTATTGTGATGTATTGATTTTTTGATGATTGATACTTTTGTTTTTACTATCCTACTTTGTACATTTTACTCATTCCATTTTTCTGTGCTTTCTTGTCTTCTCCTCTTTCTCCTCCTTTTTTTGAGATTGTTTGATTTTTAGTTTTTCCTTAATGTATTTCTTGTTATTATTGTTTTGGAAGTTAGACATTCCTTCTGTTCTTTTGAGCATTTAGAATACTATAACTACACTTTATATAACATAAGTTTAATCAGCATTTAAACTTCCTTATTGAGCAACATAAGCACTCCAAAATATTTTAACTACAACTAACCTTCCACCTCACTTATATACTATTGTTATTCTGTATTTTAGTTAGGCTTTTAAAATGTAACCCACAAAATAGATATTATTTTATATAGATGAAGTTGTTTAGATTTATCTACATTTTTACCAATTGCTTCACTATTCCTTCTTGTATATCAGTTCTTCCTTTTAGGATCATTTTTATTTTTCTTAAAGTATATACTTCATATAGTCCTTTAGAGAATGCCTGTTGGTATTAAACACTCAGTTTTTTCTTTCCTAAAAATACCTTTACTTCTTAAAACTGATTTTATTTATTTTTAGAGAGGGGGAAGGATGGGAGAAAGAGAAGGAGAGAAACTTGGATGTATGAGAGAAACACCAATCAGTTGCCTCTCATATATCCCCAACCAGGGTCCTGGCCCACAATCCAGGCATGTGTCCTAATGGGGAATTGAACTGGTGACCTTTCAGTTTACAATATGATGTCCAACCCACTGAGTCACACCAGTCAGGGCAATGCTTTTATTCTGGAAAGATAGTTTTGTAAGGTTCACAATTCTTGATTGACCATTATTATCTTTTGGCACACTGAAGATACAATTCCACTGCCTTCTAGTTCCTTTCTTCCTGTGGGGAAATCTCCTGTTAGTCTAATTGTGGTAACTTTGTGGTACTGTAGGTGATCTTGGTTTTCTCTCTGGCTACTTGAGAGTTCTTCTCCCTTATCCACCATGTGGTGTTTTGAAGTTTTCCTATAATGTGCCTAGGTGAGGATTAGTTTTAACATTTCCACCTTGTTTATATGGGTATACATACATTCTGGTGACATATGCTGTATTTGTACATTCATATCTTTAATCAGTTCTGAAATGTCAGCTGTTGTCTCTTTCGATATTATCTCTCATTTTTTCTATTTTCTGTCTCTGGATCTCTAACTGGATATGTTAGACCTTATCCTTTTAGCTTTCATTGTTCCTAGCCTTGTTTTCATATTTTTTAAATCTCATCATCTCTTTCTGCTGCAAATTTAGTAATTTCTTCAATTTGATTCCCATTCAGGGTACATACCTAGGTTGTGGGTTTGATCCCTGATTGGAGTACATAAGGAAGGCATCCAATCGATGTTTCTGTCTCACATTGAGACTTCTCTCTCTTAAATCAGTAAAAACATCCTCAGGTGAGAATTAAAAAAAATTAGTTTTTATTTCTAAAAGCTCTTATTTTGTTCTTCAAATCTGCCTGCCATTTTTGGTTGATTATTAAAATATCCACTTTTAATAGAAACTAACAAGTGTTGATGAGGATGTAAATGTTGGAGATACTATATTAAATGAAATAAGCCGGACACAAAAAGGCAAATTCTGTATAATTCCACTTATGAAGTGCCTGGAGTAGCCATATTCATAAGGACAGAATGTAAATTGTGGTTGCCAGAGGTGGGGGCAGGTGAGATATGGGGGATTATTGTTTAATGGTTATACAGTGTCAGTTTTGCAAGGTAAAAATAGTTCCGTAGATGAATAGTGGTGACGGTTGCACAAAAATGTGAATAAAAATACCATTGGATCATATGCTTAAAAAAGGTAAGATGGCAAGTTTTATGTCATGAAGGGGGACTCCAAAAAACTGGAATTATCTTTTGGAGGGTGGGCCCTTTCTAATACAGACTTCTCCTACTCAGGTGGGTGTTTTAGGAACCCATTTGTATCAGTGTACAGCTGCTATTGTGACAGACTATGTTTGGCTTCAGTGAACTCAGTCTTTTTTGAAGACTCTTTCAAACTCTTTGTCCACACTGTGCTGAATGTTCAGCAGTTTTTGACCAAAAATGGTATGACCTCCATGTCCCATCCTCCCTATTCACCCAATTTCACCTGAGCGACTATTTTTTGTTTTCTCAGATGAAAAAATTCATCAAGGGGAAACATTTTACCAATGTGAAAGAGATGAAAGAAAAAAAGGTAGAAGCACTAAAAGGCATCAAAATTGATGAGTTCAAAAACTGTTTTGAGCAGGGGCAAAAAAAATCTTGATAGTTGTATTGCATCAAATGGAGAGTACTTTGAAGGTGACTGAAGTTTAAACATGTAATAATAGATACACACTTTTTTATAAATAAATTCTGTTTTTTGGGTCCCCCCTTGTATGTGTATTTTCTTACAATTAAAAATAATTTTAAAATATGGACAAATCAGCTTTGGATTTATTTAAAAATTTCACAAATTATCATTATATTGGAGGCCCTATAGTCAGCTGTTTATAACATGAATTCTGGAGTCAGAATGCTGATGTTCAGTTTCACAGTATGTAACTTTAGGAAAGGTATTTAAAACCCCTTGTGTCTTAGTTTTCTTATCCTTAAAGTGGGGATAAGAACAATACTTAGCTCACAGGTTTGTGTGGGTATTAAATGAATCAGTATACAATGAAACACTTGAAATAGTGTCTGGTATTCTGCAGTTTTAATAATTATTATGATTATTTGATAATTCTAACATCTGAAGTCCTGGGGATTCTAAATTTGCTGTTTTGGTGATTCCTATTCATGGTGGTTTTTTCTTTTTAGAAAAACTTGGCAGATCTTTGATTATGAACTCATATTTGGAGAGTCTTTGGGAATCCCAAGTCTCTAAATTTGAAATATTTTCCTTCCTCATTACATTTGACACCTGTGACCACATTTGTTTCCTCCAGTTGTCTCTATTTCACTTGGGAGTCCTAGGTTCAGCTTCCCTCCCTACAGTGGATCTGGGTTTAGTTCTGTTCTCAGCCTTCATATTGGGTTACCCTAGGGTAACCCAAAACTTTAATTAGCTGTTGCTCCCAGATCTCCACCTTAGTTTCAGCTCATGATTCTAATGGATTTATTTATTTATTTATTTGTTTTTGAGGATTTCTATTATGTCTTAAATGAACCTAGTAAGGCATTAACAAGTATATTTTATCTAAGATCTGAGTCAATTATAGCAAGAAGGTCCTCAGAATACTGGGGCATTGCCCTGACTGGTGTGGATCAGTGGGTTGGGCATCCTCTTGCAAATCCTATTGCCGATTTGATTCCCAGTCAGGGCACATGCTTGGGCTGTAGGCCAGGTCCCTGGTTGAGAGCGTATGAGGGGCAACAAATCAAAATTTCTCTCACACATTGATACACATTGATGTTTTTGTCCCTTTCTCTCTCCCCCTCCTTTCCCCTCTCTCTAAAAAACAAAAACAAAAGCAACCCCTCCCCAAACTGGAGCCTCCATACAGTGGCCAGAGAAGTCCACTGGGGCTTACTTTTCTGAGTGCAGAAGCTCATATTCCCAGAACCAATTTTGGGGACCACTTCATACCTAGCTGGTGACAAATAACCTTTTTAAAAAAATTAATGATAAAAACCACACCCAGGGCTCACTAGATACATAGAAGTTAGGCCTTAGAGGTGCATGATATTTTTCCAGCCACTTGGGGAGCCATAATTTAATGTCACCCTTGAATGCCTAAATCATCTCCCTCCCAAACCATAGGTTATCTCTGGCCCATGGCTGACACCACAGGCAGTAGGAAGGGAGGAGGGCAATGGGAGATGGCCTGAGTGGGAAAGAGACTTGTTCACTGTGGCTTCCCCAGTCTGCAGCTCGCTATTGCTCCCATTCAGCAGCCCTGGTCTCTCTGTCTCCTTTTCTCCAATCCTCTACTCTGAGAATTAATTGTTTCCCCAAGGCCTGTCCCTACCCAGGCCAAAGAAGAAAGATTGTGGTTCAATAGTCCTAGCTCAGTTCTTATTTAGCAACCCAGTCAAACTATGGCAAAGACTTGACATACCTGTTTAATAAAAGCAGCCATATAGGTAACAATAACAAAAACAGTAAATACGGGTAGCTGTGCCAACAGCAGGACAGTGCATTTTACATCACAACTGGTTTCTTGCCCAGGTAGATGTGGGGATGGGTGGAGAAAGAGAAAGCTGGCTCAGACCCTTTCCTCCCTGCATTCCAGCTTTTGGTGATCTGGGCTCTCACCAGAAAGTCTACTTCTATTTAGTGGAGTGGGGATGTTCCTTCTGAGCTCAGCAATGCCTTCTGAGACTGGCTCAGAGACTGGCCTGTTCAGTGAGCTGTGTCTCCCTCCTTGGGATATTGGGAGCACTGGGGGTTGGCTGTACTGGAGCTCCTAACTTCGTCTTGAGTGTGTGTGGGCTATGGGGTCTCTTATAGGAATGGAGGCCCTTTGTTGCACCTAGAAATGCTGAGGCTGTGGGTGGAGAGGTGTGCCCAAAGAGGCTCTTGCTCTGTGTCTGGCTTCTGGGGGATCCCCAGGTGGGCAGGACAGGGAGGAAGCAGTTTCGAGCACTGTGGAGGAGCAGCAGCATCATGATTCAGACTAGAATAAGAGATCAATGAAGAGAGTCATGCTTTGAAAATGGACAAAACAACAATGTGTGCACAATTGATTTTCCTTTCCTGAATCTCTTTGCTCCTCTCTCTACCCTGTAGGGAAGTCTCATAAGCCTTTCTACTCCCCTTCTCATCAGAATCTGTTCTCTGGAAAGTATCAGATAGTATCATTCTGCCAGAAAATTGACAATGATAAGGTTGGGTATGCATTTAATGGGAATTTCTGATCTAAGGAATTTCAGTTCTTAGTGGTGGAAGGCCAGGCTGTTACTTACTGGTAGGGAAAATTCTTTGGGATATAAAAGGTCTCAGAGCCATTTAAATTAAACCCAAGGATGACTGGGTGTCCTAAGAGTAGAGGAGGGAAGGGAGGGCACAATAGATAGGACAAACATGCTTACCTTCCGGACACTGTAGACCCAGTTGAGATAGGCTGTGACTTTGGTGTATACTCCTGGGGTGCTTGGGCCCCCGCAGCCATGGCCCCAGCTCACGATGCCCACAACTTGCCACAGGTCAGAGTGATACATCAGGGGCCCACCGCTGTCACCCTGTGAGAGGGCAGAGGAGGGGCTGCTGGGTAGAGCAGGTGGCATAAGGTAGAGGGGTGGGCTTCTCCTTTCTCCCCTCCCTGCACTGGCCCATCTCTGTCTGCTGGCCTGCCTCGCTTGACCTGCTCAGACTGTTCCTGAAGCCTAGAACGTCCTTCTCTTTTGGGGTAGAAGAGTTCTGTTGGAGGTCAAGTAAGTTGTGGGTGTACCCATAGCCCCTCTCTTGGAGATCCACAACTCATACCAGCAGACTGAAGGCTCTAAGGGGCCTTGTAACAGGGAAGCCTGGTTATCCCAAATTTCCCAAATTTATTTAACCACCTATGGAGTGCCTATTTCATGCCAGGCAGTGTTCTAGATAATTGGGTTCAATCAATGAAAAGAACAAAGATCTCTGCCTTCAGGAAGCTTAGAATTCAATGGAGGGGGAGAGAGAGAAAGAAAGAAAGGGAGAGAGGGGATAAATAATCATACAAGACACACAAAAAATATCAGATATGAAAAGCTCACTTATTTGGGTGTCTGTCTTTCCAGCACCTATAACCCTTGAGGCCTCTTCCCTCAAAACTCAATAACATGGTGGCCAAACTGCTGTTTATGTGCCCCTATCCCCGACTATGAGCTCCCTGAGGGAAGGCACTGTCTTCAAGCCCAGCACTTACCTGGCATTCAAGACACAACTAAGAGATGCCTCCTGAGTGAAAGAACTGAATGACTGAGAATGCAGGTGGGAGTAGGTTCAAGGGTTTAAAGAGGATATCTCAGAAGATCGTCTGGGGTGGGGCAAGAGGACCTAGCACCAGGACTCATCCAGCATGAGATAAGTTTTCTCTAGTGTGGTTTAGTAGCTTAAAGACAGTTATAGAGAAAATGACCTGGAATTCTTGTCTTCAAGAGACTTATTCCTCTAGATGATGGAAGGGAGGGTAGGTGGGGAAGGTAACCTCACCTTAGTATGTGAAGTACATATATACACTTAAAATCTTTCTGCATGTGTCCATCCATCTATCTCCCTATGTTTAGCTGATAAAATTCTTCTTTCCATGTTTCTCTCCTTTCCTCCCTTCATTAGACATTGAGAACCAAACATATGGTACTCAACAGGACTTTGTGTGAGGCATTCAGCTTTTGGATTTTTTGTCTCTCTAGGATCTACATCCTTATCCATAGGATTCCCTCATGACCCTTAGAGGACTCACCTGGCAGGTGTCCACACCACCCTCCAGGACACCAGCACACAGCATCTCCTTGGTAACTTCCCCCTGGTATGCATCCTCTGCATTGCACTGAGTCCTGTCAATGACCTGGACTGATGCCTGCAGCAGTATGTCAGACATCTTCCCTGGGAGGTTGAAAACATACTCACATTCTCACCCTTGCCCTCTCCCCAAGTCCAGGATAATACTGTGGGTTATCAGGCACCTTGGTGTTTGGATCTCCAGGATGGGATTTTCCTGATGGATGATCCTCCTTCCCATTACCTCTGATTGCTGCTTTCTCTGCCCTGTGATCCTGAGCCTAGGACTTACCTCCACCCGGCTCTGTAAAGCCCCATCCGATGACCCAAAGTGGGGTGGCTGGAGTGAGCTCCTCATCAGAGAAGGGCAGGCAGATGGGTCTGACTGTGCCTGCCAGGAGCAGAGGAGACCCAATGTTCAGCAAGCCTGGTGGTTAAGCATTTTGTAACACAGTTTCCACAGGATGTTAATAGAAGTGATAGGAGAAAAAGGGTTCTGTGGTCAAATATGTTTAGAAAATGTGGGTTAAACACAATAAAATTAATTATTTAAAAAATTAAAAATTCTTTAATATACTAAAGTGCTCCAAGAAAGAGAGCTGAAGTATAAAAATGTTTCCGAAATTTATTTGAGAATAGAACCTTCTTTTCCCCAAGAAGCAACATTTGGAAATGCCGATCTAAATATAGTATAAGGATGAGCCATCTAACAGAGATGTTCTAAGATTTTATGGGCTGCCTTAACAGTAGTGAGTTCCCTAACTCTGAAGGAGAGTGAATGGGTAGAATGAACACTTGGCAGGATACTGTACAGGTTCTTGGCATTGGTTGGCGGAGGATAGATTAGATGAATTCACAGCTCCAAGACTGGATGAATTTATGATCCTCACTTAAGATGCTCTACATGGAGAGAACAGCAGACCATAGAAGCTCTGGTAGGGAATGGGGTGGGATGTCAACTAACAGCTGGAGGAGGCCTCATGGCATTACTGGTGTAAGTCTGGTATATTTGCTGGAAACAAATGGGCAACTGAGGTCTTGAGAGGAGAAGTGATGAGCTCAAGGCCACTTAATGAGCTAGTGGCAGAGTGGGGACATAACCTAACCTAAGGGGCTCTGTTCCCAAGTGCCACCTCTTACCTGAGAATGTGAGTGGGTACTGCAGCTTCACAAGAGCAATGTCTTTCTCTTTGGGGTATGTGATATTGAGCTCAGTGACAAAGATCTTGGCCACAGGCAGGGATGGGAAGTTGCCCATTTTGTCTGAGCCAACTCTCACCTTCCAGTTGGACACATCAAGATGCTTCCTGGGGGCAGAGACAGTGGGGTTAGGGCTTGAGCCAAGCATGAGTAGGCCTTGCTGAAGGCTAGGTCCCCAGGGCCCTGGGGATTGTAGTGCTAGAGGTTCCTGCCTTAGGAGGTAATGATGGTGAAGGCAAGGTGGTGGAGAAGGGACAGTTAGAGGAATCACCCACTATAGATCAAATTCTAAAAGGGGACTTGATCTTTTTTTCTCCAGTGGAACCTACTCAAGAAAACTTCTAACTGGAGGTCTGGGGAATGGGCCATTCCCACTGCCTGAGCTCTGGGGTCTTGGCATTGTCATCTGCAATGCTGTGCATTATTGTTGGCACTCATGTAGTACTTGCAGTGGTACTGTGGCCACTTATCTTATGTACTTGTCTTCCTTCCTTCTGACACTAGATGGTTTTCCAGGAAAGGTTTATAGCTTTTGTCAGATTCTCAAAAACATTTAAGAACCACCGGCCTAGACCGTGAGTTTCTCTAAGGCGGCAATGGTCCCTAATACTATAATGCTTGGTCCCTAGTAGGGACTCACCAGATATTACAGGAATGAATGAATAAAAGTAAAGAAGTCCTGGAACTGGTCCTTCCAGGGGTAGGGGTAGGCATCTCTGCTGGGCTGGAAGGAAATCTATACTTTTTTCCCTTAAGTTTCTGGACATAGTGAGGGAGTGGTAGTGACTCTAGATCCTAGAAACACTTCCTGGAAGACTAGCAAAGAGGGAGAGAGTTCTCAGGTAGATGGGAAAAGCTTTTGTGGAGTGAATGATATGAGATGGACTGAGGACACTGGGTTTCTAATGGTTTCTAACTTGGAAGAGGTCAAACTTGGTGATCACCATCCTCTGCTCAGAGCCCCAGTGAGGGGGATATTATGTCTAGCATCTTATTGGGGTGGCCACAATCTAGGACATAGCTTTTAAGGGCAGAGTAAAGGGCAGTGAGGGCCACAGAACACAAGTCGGGAGACAGAGAGCCAGGCACTCAGGCTCCTCCATGGCTTCTTTATTTTTATTTTCAAGATTTAATTTATTTATTTTTAGAGAGAAGGGAAGGGAGGGAGAGAGAGGGAGAGAAACATCAGTCAGCTGTCTCTTGCATGTACCCCAACTGGGAACCTAACTAGCAACTTAGGCATGTGCCTTGACCATGAATTGAACTAGTAATATTTTGCTTTGTGAAATGATGCCCAACCCACTGAGTCATATCAGTCAGGGCTCCTCCATGGCTTTGGCTCCTATAAGGCCTCCTTGCAGAGTGGTCCTTACCTGAAGCAGTGGGCTGCTGTGAGAATCCAGTGTGAGTCCAGGATGCTCCCTCCACAAATGTGTTGTCTGTTGTACTGGATACTAACCTGCCAAGGCCAAGAATCCACCGAGGCCTTCTCCCCACCGACCACCCGAGGGGCCTTCAGGCTCTTCCCACAGGCTGGACTCAGCAGGAAGGAGGGAGAAAGCAGGAGTCAGGCTCTCGAGAGATGGGGCTGCCTCTCCTTAGAGCCCAAAGTCTATCCTGAGCAGGCTGTTAGGAACAGGAGCTGGTGGTGAAGGGGATCAAGCCAAATTTGAATGATTCATGGGAGATATTGAGTGTCCTAGACCACAGGATTTCCTCCAATCTCCCTCTTTTCTTTTCAGGTTTGGATGTGCTTAGGAGTTTATATTGTGAACATGGGTGCGTCCATTGTGCTGAGAATTTATGACCTTCAAACTAAACTGATGCAGAATTATGAAAGTCCCACCCAGGTAGAGTGTCCCCAGGCCACTCCCACTGAGTAACAGTAAACAGATACCCACAGGCTGCTTTGGGAGCCAGAAGTAGGAAGAAAGTTTCAAAAACTGGTTCTTTCCATCCTAAAATCACCTTTCTCCAAGTCTCTTTCCCCTTTCTGAGTGAATCTCCCAATTTGACATCCTATTTTCTTTCATATCTCACTGTCCTGGCTTTCATATTTGACCCTGGAAATCTTAAAAAAAAAAACACTTCCAATTCCATCTCCCTGCCCTGTTTTCAGCCTCTTCAATCTTCTGGCAGTCACTGCCCCATAGCTTTTAAAGGGGAAAGGCTACCAACTTTTCTGAGCCTATGCTAGCCAGGGACTTTACCAACACCACTGAATTCCAAACAATGCTTTCTACATGTTACCTCACTCACTCAATCAGAGCGCTTCGGCATCTCTCTTTGTTTGTAGGGTAGAGTTTAACTTCCTGGCAGCCTCCTGCTCTCCTTATGTAAAGTTTCCATTTAGCCAAATCAATATGCTTGTAGCTTCCTACATAGTAATTCTGTTTTTGTTCAAGGAAGCCCCTATCTATGAGATACTATCTCCTCTCTGTTTATCTAAGTCATTGATTCATTCAGCAAATTTGTACTGATAGCCTACTATTTCTCAGGGATATTAAGAAGGGAGTGATGGACAAGACAGAAAGACAGACATGGTCCCTCCCCTCCTGAAGCCTATTGTTCACTCTTCGATACTTAGCTTGAGCACTACCTCCTGGCCACTCAGTCCCTGGGGAGTTCCCTCTCTTTGACTTTCCATAGACTGCTCTGGGTGTTGGCCAGCCTTTCATTATTGTCATGCTTCTGTCTTGTCTTCTCAGTGAGACCTAAGGCTCCTCAAGGGAGTATCTGTGACTTAAGCTTTTTTGTAACTTCAGTGCTATTCAGCTCAGCACATCAGATAATATGACTGTTAATTCACTAATTTGTTACCATGTGTTAGCCCCCACACAGTAGCTATTGTGGGGGGTGGTCACATGATAATGACTAAGTCTTAATGTCCAAAAAGGAAGTACATATACTGCTGAACTTCAAAGGCAGTAATGATGGCCTTACTTTCTGTCTAGTTTCCAGCCATCCTTCTGGGCTCTGCTCATTCTTCTCCAAAGAGACTGGTAAAATGAGCTGGGCCACAATGCCTGTTTTCTTTTCTGATCTCTTCTGTTAGGGCTGGAAGTGGGGGGCTCCTGGGATCCTCTTGGGCAGTTGGACTAAATGGTTTCTTGGAAAAATTAATCTCAGAGAGGTCAAGTGAATTACTCAAGGTCACCCTGGAAGCCTATAGGACTGGTGCTCAGGTCTCCTGAACCATTGTGCAGCTCTCTCTTTAGCATGTCAGTTGTGACTTCTACTCAATTTGGTACTTTCCACATGTGGCCTTGTGCCTCTTTCTTTGCTTAATTATTAACTCCTGAGGATAGTGGCCACTTCTTTTACTTTTCTGCTTCCAACCAGCACCTGAGAGTGTTAGACACAAGCTCAGTGACTCTTTGCTAAATGGAATGTGGATAATCTAATCTTAGATAACTGAGCTGATTGTGACAAAGGAAGTTATATGGGCCCTGAGCAGGAATGAGAAGTGTAGGGGCCTCGTCCTACCCTGTCCAGTTTTCTTACTCTCTCTCCACTCAGATTGTGGGGCTATGTGTTGTTGGTAGGAGGAAGTTTCTTAATGTCAATCACTTGAAGGAGCATTGACCTACAAGTCCAAGGCCCAAAGAAGTAATGTTGGGACAAAAACAGAATGAAACTTGAAGTCTGAGAGATTTAGGAATGAGAGTGAAGGTCTTTTGTCATGCTCACTGCTGGCCCCGGACCCAAACCCTCCGAGATGGGACGTACTCACCAAGGCACTGCAGGGAAACCAGGGAGCCTGAGAGACAGGATCTAGAAGGGCGACACAGGGCCCTGAGTTTTCTGCTCCTCTCTTGGCTGGGAGGCAGGAACTCAGGTCTTTTGGCAGTACTGAGTCAAATCCCCTCCCAATCTGGGAAGTATGGAATCTGCATAGGGGGTCTGTATAGAAACTACATTGCCACTCAGTTTAATTTGATTTAATTTGCTTGGATTCAACACCTTCCAGTGAGGAGCATCTACACTGTGCTAGGTCCTGCCTGAGTCAGAACCCAAGTTGGGCTCTCGGCAGCCTGAGATGGAAGAGAGCAGAGCCTGGAGCAGTGTCTGCTGCTCTGCTGGCTTGCCACAGAGAAGAATGGGATTTCAATGAATTTTAGGCAAATGATCATTCTGTTCCTATCCCTGTCCTTTTCAAGATTTACTCTTTGATAAAAAAGCAGCACTCAGTAACATCCCTGAATGTTAAGAAGCCAGAATCTTCTCTGAGCTTGTTTGCTGCAGGGGACAGTTTTCATTTAGATGCTGTGCTCTAATTCACTGTAGTGAAGCATAGGAAGAGACCATTGACAAAGGCCTGCAGTCTCTGCTCTGGAGAGTTGGGAGTGTGGAGAGGTCTTATAGTGGCATGGGTGAGTGGCAGGGAAGGACTAAGTAGCCTTTGGATTATTCCCTGTTGGTCTTAATAGAGAACATAAGGCAGCAGAAAAATAAATGGTTTTGCTCTTCAACTGGTGGAAAGGCCACCAAGGTGGCTTTTGTGCTGGAGAGCTGTTCATTGTATTCAAAAAAGAGTCAATGCTGGAAATCTCTCACAAATGTGATTCTCCACTCTTGGTATCTAACAATTTGCCTGGCCAGGAGTTCTGCCTGTCATCTGGTTTACATGCCCCTGCTGTGTCTGTTCAGGGTGGGCTGGCTGCAGCTCTAAGGGCATCTCCATGTGTGAGCCTTCTGTTCACCAGAGGATGTCCTCTCACTTACCCACTTGAATTTTGCACCTGAAGGTCCTGGCTGTTTGCTGTGATTTCAACAACATGTAGATCTTGGACTGGACCAATCTTTACAGCTCTGAAGGTGGGTTTGCCACTCATGTCAGGAGAGAGAGAGAGAGATGTGAGTTAGGGCAAAAGTTTAGAACAAGATAGTGGGACTAGCCCACATTCAGGAGAGAGGGTGGCAGAGGATGTCTGGTGGGGCATGGCAGGGAGGTGGAGGTGGTCTTGGACAGTGAGGGTGGTGCCTGCTTTGCTATATGATTAGATATTCCCTTGGCACCCCAGGATTCAACTTTAGGCACAATGCTGTCGTAGCCTTGTGTTCTTGGGTGGGCAGGCTTAATCCAGAACACAAAACTTTGAAGAAACATTAGGGACACACTTTCCTAACTCCCAGCTCTGTCCCTATTTCAAGTGTTGCAGCAGTTTCCTCTGTTTCACAGCAAGGGGAACAAGGAGGCCTATGTACCCAGGAAGAACCCAGGTTAGCTCCCCCTACCTTGGAGGGAACTGGAATGTGGATATTTGGTTCTCTGAGGCATGAAGTCTGAATTTTGTAGTACAGGTACATTTACAGTCCACTTGGAAGTAGAACAGGACAAGATCAGTCTTCACATGAGTCCAAACAAACATTTCTCTCACTTGGACCTCTCATTTTTTCTTTCTGCTAATCCATGTTTATCTCCTTTCAAACCTTGGGTTTAAGTGTTCCTCCTCCAGGAAGACTTTCCTGATTAATCCCATCTTTCCAGTTGTTCCTGTACTCTTTTCCATCTGTTGCATCCTTCCCTATCCAGTCCACTAGTACGAGCTCTGAATGCAGGGCTCAGGCCAACCCATGGCACTGGCTGAATGATAATTCTCACATTTGCAGCTAGGAATCTGGCACTACTTGATGGCACTACATTTGGGAGGACTAGAGCCTAGCAGTACTCAGTTTTGTGTTAAGAGCCCTCAAGACCGGGGTGCTTGTCTTGGCTCTGACACTAGCCTGACAGGTTAAACCCCTTCTCTGGGTCTCTTTAAGCCTCACTTTCCCCCTCTGTAAAATTATGGGTGGACCAGATGATCGCCAGAGTCCCTCCCACTTCTAACCGACTAGAATTTTGTGGTGCTGGGACAAGGAGGACCCCCAATGCAGTTGGAAGAAGAAAAGTAGAGAAATCTGAGACCCAGGGGGTACAGTGATAGAAATGGACAGTCCCAGACAAGTTAACTAATGTTCACTGATTATATCCTGATGACTACTTCTGACCAGATTTGATTTTGTAGGTGCTCCATAGCCAGGTGGTTTGGAGCTCCAAGATAACAGAGATTACAGGAGCCTATTACCTTAACAACTCTGAGGGACACCCTATTTTCATAATCAAGCCACAGCCTGCTTGCTGGGTACAGCTGATTCTGCAGTTGGCTGGACTGTAGCATGGAGGAAGGGTGGCTGCAGGAGAAGGGGAGAATAGCAGGGGCAGGGCAAGCCTTCCCAGCTGTCCTCGAAAATGAAGGTGGTGGGGTATCCTCTCCAGAGGGTGTTGGGTGTTTCACCCCATGAAGGGTAGAGAGCAGTAGAAGCCTGTTCACCAGAGAGCAGAGGGCAAACAGGTCTGATGGATCAGTAATGACTGCCTGGAGCATTTACTGAAGAGAACCTTGAGGCTGCTTTAGGGATGGATGGCAGAGTTCTGAGATTGATTGATGGTGTCTGCCTAGCATTTATCATTTCTGCCTAGTCTCTGAGTGCAGTTTCTTAGATTCATGAAGCTTGGGGCCTGCCAAAGAGAGATTGTCCCACTGTGCATCTGAATACATGGAATTTTTCCCATCCTTTCCAGTTAGGCTCAACTGTTCCTCCTCCTCTTTTTATACATGAAATCTTGCAGGAAGAGAAAATGACCCAATGTAGTAACAAATGCTTCTAGAACTCCTGATGCCCACGAATTACAGGTCTTGGGCACAAATTCCAGCCCTTTCCCTCCCAGCTACTACCCAAAGAAATTATTTATTTTCTCCAAACTTATTTCTAAAATAGATAATGACTTTTTTTATTTTTGGCAAGATCAATGAATATAAATATATAATGCTAATTACCCTTATTGTAATTATATTCTTCTTTATCATTGAAGATCTGGAACTGCTTTTGAATTTGCTGAGAGCTGGGATTACAGATGGAACCCCAAGGAAATCAGGTTTGTTTAAACCAAATTTTCATCAATAAGACTTTTGTCTTCTGGGGCAGGAATGCATCGTGTAAAGATAAGAGGGAACAGGGAGGAAAGGAAGGAGAGGACTGCAAAGGGGCGGAACTCATGTGTGTGTGTAAGGGAGGGGTGGTGCACACATTCTCTCACTGGCACTGTATATTTACCCTATGGAGGTGACTTTACTTTCCCAGGTAACTCTTGAGTAAACCAAGGTTTTAGAGATTTAACTTCATGTTGCTTGTAAGTAAAAGTGCTGGGATTAAAGCAATTTTGACTGGCTCCCACACCTATATTTTTAGGAAAGAAGGAGACAAGGAAGAAGGAAATGGGAAAGAAGGGCAAAAGAGGAAGGAATACTGTGAAGGAGAGAGGTCCTAGGGGTGAGGTAACATCTGGGCTGGTTACCTGTCAAAGCCCATCTGCCCACAGGCTCTCTGGGCCAGAGCTTCTGTGAAGTTGTTGAAACAGACAGAAGCCCAGTTCCTTGTGGCTGGGTCCAGCACCTGAAGGGTGGATCTGTCTCTGGAGAGGCGGACTGGAAGGGGAGGAAGCTGGGTCAGCTTCAGGGGCCCGTCTGGCCCATTTCCCTCAGAATTCCTCATGAGACCAGTCAAGCTCCCCATACTCAGAACTGGAGAGCATCACAGAACACTGACCTTTTCAACCTCAAGGGAAGCTCCTTCATTTGGCTTTGCTTGAGCCTTGTATTGACAGAAGCTAGGGTGATCAAATGTCTTGGGGTCAACCTTCATTTTGACCTGTTGCTCTGGCATAATTATTAATAGTTCCTCCTTTTGTTCTCATGGCCCCTACACACGGTACACACAGCTTTCAAGGCCCAGGGAAACTTCTCAATGAGGATCCTTCCCCTTTTCTATGTCAGGGTAGATGGGAGAGGTTGAGTGAGAAGTACCTGTAGGCATCTGATTTTTTTAAAAAAGCAAATATGCAAGAAGTCACTCAGTGCTTCTCCTCAGAATCTCCCATCACCCATAGCCTAGGCTGTCCTTTTTTTTTTTTCAGAGCCCAGGTGCTAGATGGATCAAGTGGGGCTAGCCCAATCCAAGAAAGATCATGGGTTTTTATGTTTAAACATCTCATATTTCTTTGAAGGACCTAGCTCAGTCTTGTTACATAGCATGTTACAATAAATACTTACCTAATGAATAGAAAGAATTAGTGGTCTTCCTGTATTTTCTGGTCTTCTTGACATAACAGATAGGAGGGAACTTCTCAAGTTCATCTAATCCACATTTCTGCCTCAGTTTTACCCAGGTACAGCAGAAATGGGGCAGACTCAGTTATAGTTTCCAATTTCCTTTGGTCCACATTTGTTCACCAGATATTTACTGACAGTTTGCTATACACTAAGTACTGGGATCTAGTAGACCAGATAATGATTTTATTGTCAAGAACCTTACATTAGGGATGGAAACTGACAGTCAGGTGGAAGGTGTTATGCAGTAGAACAATGAAACCTGAGCTGACTTCCCTCTGAGCCCACTTACCTGGTTCCTCAGCCCCTGGACTTACCTGCCACTGGAGGCCCATTGTCAGGAAAGTTCTTGACGCAGTACTGCTCGTCTTCTCCTGAGGCACAGTCCTGATGGCCATCACACACCTGTTTCCTGGGGATGAAGTGGAGGGGCTGCCCACAGAGGAAGTAGTACTTATCCAGGATCACCTTGACTGGAAGGCAAGGACAGGGAGGAGCATAGAAGACTGAGGATCATGTCCAGGGGCAGAAAAGGCTGTGTGTTTCCTGAAGATACACTGTGCTTGGAGACAGGTAGATACTGGTTCTGGGCCCAGTTCTGCCATGTAGTGGCTGGTATACTTGGTCCTGATCCTCAATTTTTTTATCCATAAACTTGAGATAATTAAATCTGTCTCATTCCTAAAGGTAGCTGAGGAATTAAGACAGATGTGTGTGGGAGCCCTTTGGTAACAGCCCCCTGCCCCAGCCTCTGATTGCCAGGTGCTGGCATAATGCCTTTGATAATGGAGGAAACACATTGGGTGTGGAGTCTGAAGACTGAGTGCTGCTGACTTTGCCACCTACTGTGTGACTTTAGACCAATCCCTTACTCTTTCTGGGGCTCAGTTTCCTCATCTGTACAGTGAGATGATAACACCACCTCACAGGGTTACTAAGAACATTTGGTGAGCTGGTGGTTGTGAAAGTGGATCATAACTATCCAGTGCAGTTCTAGGATTCTTTCCTGGTAAGAAGTGCTCTTCCTGCCTCCCTGAACTCTCCCTGGCCTGAAGCCATAAGCCTGATGAACAGTACCCCCACCCCCGCCCCCACTTATCACTGCTAAGAGCTTTCTATGATCCTCACATAATCCTGACCACAACTTTAGAAGGCAGTGCTGTTATTAACCTGCATTAGAAATCAGGAAACTGAGGTTAGAGAGTTAGGGTTTATTTTCTAATGCCACACAGCACTTACATGGTAGAACCAGGATTTCAGTTAGGGTCTGTATAGCTCCAAAGCTCTTTGCTGTCTCTCCACATCTTCCCTGTGAGATCTCAGGATGTTACCTGCTGGCCCTGATTCTACTGGTTTGAGTGAAGCAAGGAAGAAGGAGCAGGTCAAATATTTCCTAGACCTCCAGATTTAAGTTCATGGTCAGGAGCCTGGGTAAAGCAGAATCACTCTAGCCTCCTGGGACAAAGCCAGGACATTGTGCTACCAGTTGAGACCCTAGAAGCCAACAGTTGAGGGAGCCTTGCCCAGGCTGGGAGATCAGGCTATCCATTCTGGTTCTCAAATGCAGAGGGGCCCAGGACATGGAAACCATACTGGGAGAGCCCAGTTGGGAGAGTCCAACTCAAAATTATGCACTAGATCTGCCCTGGCTTTCTATGGGTAAACTTGGAACTTCTTTGTTCTCCACTGTGGTGGGGCATACACTCAGAAAGAAAGCTCATTTTAATATTAGCCTGAACAAAAGAGGCTTAGGATGGCAAGTCTGCTACTGCTTCTATAAACACACTACCACTTCGATCAACTGTACCAGCCACGGTCAAGAAGAAATGATTTGGGGTTCTTTGCATCTCATACCCTGTAGGCCCTTCATGGATCAGGTGGTGTTTGTGTTGTGGATCTGCATTTCCACCACCACAGGTGGTGAAAACGGGGCCTGGGGGCCTGTCTCAGCTGTCCCTAGCTGCCGCGCCTGCTTTCTGAGCCTAAGCACTCAAGTGGAGAATGAGGGGTTAGACCAGATGATCTTTGAGTGTCCTCAGTGAGGTGGTGGTTGTGGCTGGTCGAACTACCACCACAGTTACAAGTGCAGGCTCTTGAAAAGCCCATCCTGGCCAGTTAGCAAGTATGTGGCATCGGTTACATCTCTGCACACTTCACAATGGCCTACACTTCTGCATAACCTGGTTTTTATCCAGGTACCTTACACATGTCATCTCATCGATCCTCTGATGTTCCTCTGAAGGAGACAGGACATTTTATAGGTGAGAAGATTGAGGTTAAGAGAGGTTGAGGAACTTACTCAAGGTTAAACAGTAGTCAATGACAGTGCCATGATATCTGTCCCAGGTACTTCCTAGCTTGATCCCTTCTTCCTTACTTCCTGTGTGAAGCTGTGGGCAAAAACCTGCTATGACTATGGGGCAGATAAAGGCAAGGACTTAATCACAGGATGTGGGCACTGAAAGGGAGGGACTGTGGGAATCCCTGCTTATTCACTTTACTTTTTTCTGTCACAGAATGGTGGGCCCAAGATCACACAGGGTCTTAGGCATTGTCCATGATGAAGACAGAGCTAAAGGTGGGAAGGGGTGCTATCTGCCTGGGTGGTCCCTGATGCCTCCTCTCTTTTTTTATTCCCTCTTCAGGCAGAGCAGAAATGCTCCTTGCTCCTCTAGCCAGTATAACTGCTCAGATCCACTCAGCTCTCAATCTGTAGACATGGAACAGGGGAGGCAGGGGGCATGGCTGCCCCCTGCAAATGACCTGTGTGGGTTCATAACATGTACAGCTGTGCTCTCTCTACAGAAGAAATCATTTGGTATAGAAGCCATCTGGGATGGATGAGGGCTGAGTTCATCTTCTCCTTTCTTAGTGGAAGCTCCCTTCAAAGCAGGGGATGCATACATGTGGATACAAAGCACTATGCAGAATACAAGCCTATGACTCTGATGGGGTGGAAGGGTGGAAGATGAGGGCATCACTCTGAATGAGGGGGGGTGAGCGGGAGCTGCCACTTACTGTGGGGTGAAGTTGCAGGTGGGGGCATTAATGAGGGTGTGAAGGCTGCCACTTCCTGAGGACAGCCATGATGACAATGATTGCCAGGCTCAGCAGTGCTGTGATGATGGGAATCCCCACTTTTTTGAAGGTCTTCAGGAAAGTGCAGGGTTTGCGCAGAGGGGTGACACCTGTGAAGTAGAGGGGAAGAGCCTGTGGAGAGCACTTGGAGACCTCCCCTGATAAGGCCCATAGTCTTTCTGCCCTCTATCCCCTGATGCTGAGCTGCAAAAATGCTTTGGGGAGAGTTTGGTTAGCGTTGGGGGGTTTACTCCTTCAGCATAGGCTTAGCTTCATCAGCACATGGTCACCAACCTCCTTGTACTACCCAGGCTTTTCTATTTCACAAGGGCCCTTCAGATGAGCCTCCAGCCCATGGCATTGTTTTCCTTGTCTTATCTTACTGTGTTCTAGGATGTTTTACCCTGTCCAATCTGACTTGCTTCTGCCCTGGAGAGGCAGGGCCCATTCATTTTACTATCATATATCCTCCTCCCTTAGTTATCTGTTGATTTAACTATAAGCTTGAGGAGGGCAGAGCCTCTATCGCAGTATGTATTTAGTAGAGACTTAATAAGTACCTGTGAATGAATGCATTTATAACTCAATTAAAAACCCAGCAAGTCTCTAGAATGGTCCCTGTCTTTAAGGAGATTATAATTTTGGGGGAGAAGCAAACAGAGACACAGCTGACAGTATCACTCTGGACACATCAAAGCACTTAAATGGGCCTCTGTAGGTGAAGATGGGAGAGGGAGGAGCTGGAGCAACTGACAAAGACCTGGGGTTAGGGACTGTGAGCTCCTGGTGGGCCTGGGATATGAGGTGGGTGGCAGCATGTTATGAAGGCAGGACTGGCAAAGTCAGTTGTTAGAGAGTTTTGAATACAATTCTAGTGGTTTGGATTTTATTCTGAAGGTAGTGAGGAGACCTGGGAAGCTATGAGCAGCAGAACACATGATCATGTTAACATTTAGCAAGATGTATCTTTTATCAGTGAAGAGATGGATTGAAACAAGAGTCTGGAACTCGGGAGACCAGACAGGAGCCTACTGATACTTAAAGCAGAGGTCATACTAACTGTATTGTTCTTTTCACATTGTTATTCACAGAGGTGGTAAAAAGCTCAGGAAGTATCAGAAAAAGATAGGTTCTCCTGTGTCCACTCTTCTTGCAGGTAATAAGCTGGGGAGGTTCCATGGGGACTTTTCCAGGGAGAACTAAGACAGTTGTCACAGGAAGACTGAGAATCCCTAGAAAGCAGTAGATAGGCTTTCTTCCTGGTCACTTCCACATGGCTTGCTCCCTCACTTTTCAAATTATTCTTCAAAAGTCACTTCTCTATTAGGTCTTCCTTGACTTCCCTATTTAAAAGACAATCTTCTAAAATTTCCTATCTTCCTTTCTTGCTTTTTTTCTTTCCCAAAAAACACATCTCCTCTAATGTACACTATATTTTACCCATTTTGTGTCTTTTCTGTATCCTTCCATCCCTGCCTGACATGAAGACTCCATGAAGATAGGGATTGTTGTCTGTTCTGTTTACTGCCAAATCCCTGGTGTCCAGAACAGTGCCTGGTTTGCCGTAGGCACTCAGCAAATATTTGTTGAATGGATAAAGGAATTGCTCTTTGCCCATTCTCTTAAGCACATCCCTCCATCTTTGTTACAGGTCAGATTTTATTCTGCCTTTAATTATTATGGCTAGTTATGTCTGCCTCTATCACTTTCCTCAGCTCTTCAAAATCAGGGAATGGAAACTTTCCAGAGCCTGATGCACAGTAAGTACTGATATTATTGAACTTGTTAATAGGGAAAGCACAGGAAATTTTGTGTTTCCTCCAAAGGGAGAATTTAAGCCACAGACACAGAGCGCAGGTCCTGAGGATGTGGGCTGGCATTACCTGTTCTTATCAGAACCTGGCATATAGTAGGTTATCGATAATGTTAGCAGATGTTGCTTTTAAAATTCCAGCAGTCAGTGTTCAAAACTGTCCTCTTTCCTGTGGCCATGGACAGGTGACATTTTATTCATTCATTCATGCATGATTTATTTATTGAGCACCTGCCTCTGGGGACATAAGGTTGTCTCATTTTCTCAAAGATGAATGATCTTTTGGGAGCCCCTTGACAAGTTCCCGTGTCCAGAGCCTAATGTCTTTGACTCTCTGAGGTTCTCAGGGAGAACATCATGAAGGGAAGGGATTTCTTGGTATATTGTCTCATACTTGGTTTAAGTTAATGAACCCTCTGTACTATGAATAGCCTTCCTGCCTGCCACTGTTCCTTCCTGTAGCCAGTCCTGCCCAGTGCTGCCAGACTTTTATCCTGTAACTTCCCTGCTCAAGAAACTTCAAGGGGTCCCCATGACCTCTATATCTGGACCAGCTCTATTCAGGACTTTCAAAGTCAGTGGAATTTAGCCTGACTCTCCTAGCTAAGGGGTCCTCCCGCTGCTAGTCCTTGCCAACCACCAGTTCTATGTAAACAGGTTCACTTTCTGGTTTTCATGCAGCCTGTATTCATTCTTACCTTTGAGTCTTTGCTCCTGCTCTTCCTTCCACCACTGAGATCGTCATCCCTTCCTTCTGTTTTCTGACAGTTTACACCTGTAGGGCTTTTGTCAAAGTCTGTCTGACCCATGACACTATCTCTGATCACTCGGCACTGATCTCCCCCTTCCCAGAACTCTTCACCATGGGCACTGGTAGCAAATTTAACTTGTTTTCTGGGTTGGCAGTTCTCAGGCTCACTCAGGTCGGGGAGCACTAGGACATCTGGTGTGCTTTAGGGAAACTTTGGCCTATTGATATCTGAAATTCCAAAGTATAAAACTTGCTGAAGATTATATCATTTGTGATAATTATTAACTTGCAGCCCTGAAATAAATAAGCTGTCAAAGTAAGCGAGATTGGTCATTTCCTAATTGATCATACTAGTTTCTTCTGCTCAATCATTTTACTGATGCAGGAGGCTATCAGGAGTAGGTATCAGTGGAAATTTAATATTTCCTCCCATATTAAAACAAAATGGGAGGAAAAAAATTCTTAAATTTGGGAATACTTTTACTATTTACTTACTTTTTTTCCTGTAAGTCAGGGAAATCCTGCTATTTTCTATCTACCAGTGAAAACACTTTTGTCCAGTTTTTTCTTGGTAGCATGGTCAGATGTAAACTCCCCAGGGACAAGGACTTTGGCTGTCTTATTTACAATTGTGTCCCTGGGCTCAGCCCAGGGCCTGGCACATGGCAGGCTCTCACAGTGTTGTTGAATGGATGTGAGAATGAGTACTTGAATGAGTGAATTAAAGAATCAGTGCTCTTGGGGTTTTAGGTTTGTTGGTCCTTTCTCCCCAGAGACCATGTCTCCTAGTTCTAGAATAAATCCTGGGTCTTATAGTTGTTTAATAGTGTTGTTGTATGATGAGTGGATGGGTAGATGGATGTCTCCCATAGCATTTAACACTTGGAGGTAGTAGTGAGGGCCATGCAAGAGGGGTTAGTGTCTATGTGATAACTGAGCTTACCAAGGTTCAGGGGTTGATCACTGTCAGGATCCTGTAAATGAATGAAAAATAGTCAGTGAATTGAAGGAGAAACCTCTCAGTTTGGGGCTAACAGCCCAGGGGAGGTTCTTGTTTCTTTGTCTGCATTTCCTTCTCCCTGCTGAATCTAAGTTGAAGGATCTCTGTGGTATCCAAATAATTGGTTCAAAATATAAGATTCAGTTATATGTCTATATGTCTTGGTACAACCAGTTTACTAATTGTAGCAAATAGTTAGCAGTTGGTGAAATGACCAGTTACTGCCTTGTTGTGTGTATTGCTGAATTTCTTAAGATGATTCTGCTTTACTGCCTGTTTTGTCATCATTTGTCCACTTTTTAAAAAATCTTCACTTAAGGATATGTTTTTATTTATTTCACAAAGAGAAGAATGGAGAGAGGGAGAGAAAGAGAGAGGGAGAGAGAGAGATGGAGGGAGGGAGGGAGGGAGGGAGAGAAAGATAGACATTGATTGGTTGCCTCCTATACACGCCCTGACTGGGGACCAAACCTACAACCTTTTGGTGTATGGGACAACACTCCAACCAGTTGAGCCATCTGGCCTGGGCCATTTGTTTTTTTTTATAGATGTAGTTCTGTAAGCACTTGACAGTACTCCACAAAAGGGTTATTCCAGTGGCCAATTAGTGCCAAAAGATGCTCACTGTCATTACTCATTAGGTAAAAGCAAGTTCAAACCACAATGAAATATCTCTATATAGACCAGAATGGCTAAAATTAAAAAGGCTGACAACACTGTTGATGAGGATGTGGAGCAAGTGGAATTCTCATACATTGTTGGTGGGAGTGTAAATTGGTTTGGAAATGCTTTGGAAAATAATTTGTCTGAATCTACTAAAGCTAAACACATGACTATTCTATGATTCCATGACTCAGTAATTATAGCCAAGAAAAACAAGTGCATATATCTAGAAAAAAACCCTGTACATTAGTGCTTATAATAGCTTCATTCATAATAGCTAAAAATTGGAAAACCCCAAGACATCAATCACTGGTATATTCATATAATGGAATATAATTCAGCAATGGACAAGAACTAATGCTAAATGCAATGACAAATGGATGAATCTCAGACATAATAATGAAGGAAAGAGACTAGACACAAAAGAGCATTGTCTGTATGGTTTCATTTATATAAAATGTAAATGCCAAAGTTAATCTATGGTGATAGAATTCAGAATAGTGGTCACCACTGGCAAGGTAAGGAAGATTATTGAAAGGAACATAATGGAGCCTTCTGTACTGTAGTGTTCCATTTTATGATCTAAGGCTTGGCTATGTGGGGTATATATATGTAAAAAATTATTGAGTGGTATACTTTACATCTGAACACTTTACTGAATATATATTACACCTAATAAAACAAACAGGCAGACAAACATACAAAACTACCAGAGCACTAAGGCATTTCTGTGAGTGTAGTTTTAAGTCACCAGTGATACCCATAAACAATAAAATGCAAGGCTTTGTGCTTCCACTTAGTCACACCACTTTCGGTGCAGTCAGGGGCATGCATGGGAAGGGGCCACACACAAAGGCTCATCTACAAGGTACCTGCACACCCTTCTGCAAAGCAAAGGGTACAGGAGAGGGTGCTCCAATATTCATGCTTTCTGATAATACTTCCCTTGCTCCTGTGCCTTCTATAAACCTCTCTTCTCTTTCTTCCCTTTCCAAATCTGGCACAGGACATGGAATCCCCAGTCTAGGAACAGCAGATCTGCCAAGCTCTAGGTCTCCACCCAGGGACTCGACTGCTGTTGTGTTGAAGATCTGAAGATCTGACTGTGTTCACTCATGGTGGGTGGAGAAACCACAGGACCCTGGACATTTCTGGCTGGGGATTTTTCCAATCTCATTTGAGAGGGAGTGAGTGTCTACAGATATGGGGGCGAGGTCCCCAGGTGGCACCTGCTCCCATGGCTGAGCACGGCAGACACAGTCATTGGGAGAAGGAGGTCTTTCTTCCAAAACTCTGTAGTCTGCTGGAGGGATATGCCTGGCTTTGTCCTTTGGTGACACTAGGACATGGGCAGCTGGGAGATGTAGCAGACACAGCCAGGCTCCCAAGTCTGCAGGGGCTGAGTTGTAATACAGGCTCTGCTTCTTATTAACTGTGAGCCTTTGGGTAAGATAATTAACCTCTCTGAGCTTTAGGTTTACCCTCCGTAAAGTGTGGAAAATATACCTACTTCTGAGTGCTACTGTGTGGATGGACAGTGCCTGGCTCACACACTGAGTCCCCACTCTGTGCCCTTCCTTCCTTCCAGGATTTGGTATGGACTTTATTACATCACTTTGCCATTTGTTAGTGCCATTGTGCCCTCAGTGTTTTGCATTGGGCTTTTACCTGGCAAAGACTGGATAAATGACTGCTACATGGAACTAAACTCTGGCCTCTGCACTATAGTTCATTTCCAGCCAATTTCCTCCACCATCACCAGGGCCTGGATGGGGGTCAATTTCCAGAATAGTGACGAGAATGAATTGGGCCACTCTGCCTTGCTATGGCCACTGAGTCAGGTGATAATAATACCAGCAGTAATCTATATACAACTGGCACATAACAGCTTACGAAGTCCTTTGTCTAAGTCAAATTTAAGGGTTAATAGGATTGATACCAATTGTCTGATAACCAGTATGTGTAGCATTAAATAATTAAGTACCCTTTAAAAATCCTCACCTGAGGATATATTTATTGATTTGAGAGAAAGAGAGAGAGAGAGAGAGAGAGAGAGAGAGAGAGAAACATCAATCAATTGCCTCCTGTGAGTGTCCTGACTGGGATCGAACCCACAACCTTAGGTATGTGACCTAACCTGGGATTGAACCTGCATGTTTTGGTGTATGGGACAACACTTCAACTAACTGAGCCACCCAGTCAGGGAAATATTTAAGTGTTAAATTAAACAAATATTTGTTGAGTGTCTGTGTTATATCAGGCATTGCTCTTGAAGTTGTGGATTCAGACAAATGAGAAATGATTGTAGCAGGATGAGAGAAGTGCCCATATTAGACAGGTGAGACACTGTCCTAACTTCAGGTAAGGCAAGGATTGGGGGTGAAGGGGAGTAGTAAGGGGAGGACAAGTCATACACAGATAAACAAGAAAAGATCAGAGAGTGATGGGTGCTATGCTGAGAGGAAAGCAGGTTATAGGAGACAGTGGCTGGATGGATAGTTAACATGGGAGGTATAGGGGAGGGGTTAGGATGGTTAGGGAGTGCCTCTGGGCTGAGGCTTGAATGACTTGAAGTAGCCAGGCAGGCAGGGAGGCAGCAGCAAGCTTGGTGTTGGAGGAACAGAACAGAGATCTATGTGGCTGGATAAAGGGAGGATAAGAGGAGCGGGGAAAGACACTGGTGGTGGAAAGTTTCAGCATGTGGATAGATAAAGGCAATAGTCTTTGCCAGTAGATTGGATGCCCTTGGGTTTTTAGTGAGCAGATTGCTGGGATGTGAAAGGCTACAAGAGGGGCTGGTTGGAGGGGGTATCATGGACATCCATTTAGTGGCCCTTCCTCTGTCAACTCATTCTTTTTCCCTGAGTCTTCCTGCATATACAAGGCCTGCATTAGTTGAAGTAGGTAGGGGAAGTCCCCTTTGTTTACTATTAATTTAGCAAATATTGACTGTATGCCTTTGATGTACCTGGAATATGCTAGAAGCTGAGACACAGAAGGAACAAAGGATGCTTACAATCTGCATTTTCTGGGGCCTTGAATTCCTTATCCTGGAACTGAAGTGAACTCAGTACTTAGTTGATTAACATGTTTTCAACTGCTCTCCGCTGAATAGTGGTTATACAGAAAAATTTCACACCTTTTTGGAAACAAAGGAGAAAGAGAATATAATCAACTGAACCAAAACTGCAGGCTAGAATTAGAGGAACTGTGGCTATCTTGATAATTACTCCATCCCTGGGGTCTCCTACAATGCTTGGCACATAGTGGGTATTTAATAAATATTTGTTGAATGAAAGAATTAAGGAAAATATCTCAGTTTCAAGACTCAGCCCCAGGCCAGCCTGGAAGACACTGACTATGGTATAGCCAACCAGTGGAATATTATGCTGCAGTCAAAACAAATAGAGCATGGTGCCACAAACAATGTAGATGGTGTTAGCAATTCAATCTTGGAGATAAAGTAAGTCCCAGAATACAACATAGAACATAGAATCTTCTCCATAAAAAAGCAAGGAAATGATGAACATGGGGTTCAGGGTGGTGCTGACTTTGTGAGAGCTTTCTACTATACTCTGGCCTACCACAGATGTGCAGTCAAGACTTGTCAAGATGTGAAAACAAAAGAGACTTGCTCACCTACCTCAGCAGAAGGATCTCATGATTAGATGTAGGTTATTGTTGAGTCCTAACTTTTGTTTTGTGTGGTGGATTTATGGAGGTTTATTACATTGTTAAAACCATCTAACTGGCTGATGAGTTACAAGTGGGTCCTGCATGAACCAATAGTGAAAAATCAATGATTATGACCCATTTAGTGCTGTGCACCTGCTGGTCAAAGAGAAGATAAACATGCAGCTGCCTACCTACACTGAGGATTGAAGGAGTCCAACTGCTATTCTGTCTCTGCTCTGCTTCTCCTTCTGCCTGACTTCTTCCATTCAGTGGCCCACTCTGGCTTTTCGTGAAGTCTCTCTAGCAAACATTTCTGACACAGAGATCAGAGATGATGGGTTGCTAAATTTCTGGGAAGGGGAGTTGCTGGAGGTCACAGGTATTGGGGGTGATGGGCAGGGAAGTGTGGGTACATTTATTCCCAGCTTGATTCAGCCCCTGGCCACGGTGGCCAGGCCCAGCACAGACCATGGGAAGGCATCAGCCTTTTCCTTTGTGTTGGGGCTGCTGACTGGGTCAGGTCTGTCTGCTCTATTGAATCAGTCTGTGCAGAGCCCTGACTCATGGGTCCAGCCCAATCAGTGTTTGACTTAGGGCACTTCTGGGAATGAAGTTCCTGCTATCTGGAATACTGAGGGGCAGGAATGCCCGGATGCCCAGAGTCCAGGAAGGCTCAAGTTGGAGGAGGTAGGCAGTAGGGCAGGGAGGTAGAAGTGGGCATGTGGAAGGATGCCTGGGAAACACCTCCCAATTGCCTGATTAGCTCAGAGTCATCTTTCCCTGCCTCTCAGTATTTTTCTGGTGGCTGAACATTAATCCAAGACTCAAATGTGGAGGCGGAACAATTAATTACTGCAGCTGGGTATTGTTATATAGTTTACAGTATATGTCATAAATGCTATTACAGTTAATTCTCAGAACAACCCTGAGAAATTATCCCCAATTTACAGGACAGAAAACCACTATGGCCTCAGAGCAAGTAAGTATTGAACGCAGCTCCTAGGGCCAGACTTTTGGAACCAATGGACAGTTGTTTTCATTTCTCCACAGCTTCAGGACCCTATTTGGATAAGTGTCACTAGCTGGTGCTGCGGTCTTTTGATTCTTTACTCTCCTGCAAAGAAGACTAGTTGCATATAAATAGTATCCATCAGCATGCAGAGATTACACCAGTGTCTTCCCAGCCCTCCCTCAGTCTGAAGGCAAACCCACCTCTGCTTGGTTTCTGGCTCTGCCGAGTCATTCCCGAACAGGGGTAAGAAGACCATTCTCTCAGAGTGTATTGGGAAAGGGCCTACTGTAGTGCTTGGTACCAATGAGGGTCTTTATTGATACCAGCACCCCTTCTTTTTCCTCTTCCATTAGGATTGCACCTTTCTCACCTGCTTCTCTTTCCCTTTGTTACCCATTACCCAGAGGCTCTAATGTTTTAGATCCCAGAGAAACTCCTGGTTGGGCTTAGCTCAGCTGCCACCTTCCAGCTCAGGGATGATGAGTCAAAATACATGGGGTGAGGGAGTGGGGGAAGTTCTTATTTTTAAATGGAGGTGAGGATTAAGTGCGCTGTAGACCCATCCTGGGGAGTATGATTTCTCATCTTGTCTTGTCTTCTGACTTGCTGTGTGGCCTTGGCATGCCCTTCAACCTCTCTGAACCTCAAGATCCCCTAGGGTAATGGGGAACTCTCTTTCAGGGTTGGTGAAGCAGATAAAAAGGTTAAAAACCACAAGGTGAAATGGGTGTGCTGTACTGCGGTAATAATGCGACGAAGAAGAGGTGGTAGCTCACAGAGGTGAAGGAACAGAGAGCCTGGCCAGCTGCTCTGTTTGCTGTTCTTGCCAAGCAGCCCAAGCAGCCTGTTTCCAGGGCCTTTTTTCTCTCTTCCTCTCTGCAATGCTTCTACTGTAATTCCTTGTTCTGGAAGGAGCTTGGTAGGGGGTAGAGCTGGGATGGTTGAGGTGTAGGAGAAGGGCAAAAAGCAGGGGCACATAAAAGGGCCTTTCTGAGCCTGGTTCAGTCTGTGGAAAATTCAGGCTCCCGTGAGAGCTAAAGCCCTAGCTTCCCAAGGTCTCCCAGGGAAAACCTAGAGCCAGGGATGCTGTTGTTTCTAGGTGATGAAATAAACAGACCCTTTGTGGCCCTGTCAGGTGGCTGCTAGGTTGCTGAGGCCAGTGACACAACTGGGGGAAAACCCAGGGGAGAGAGGGGGTGGGGAAAGTTCTGGGTAAGGCAGGAGACCAGAGGCTGCTCCTAGTCATCGCGCAGAATAGATGGGCCACTGGTCATCTCTGGCTCAGGTATTCAGGGGGCTGTTCTGAGGGGGCCTCACACTGCTCTCTGGTCTTTGAACCTGCATCCTACCCTCAACCTGACAGTAGGCAGCTGTCTGCTCTCCACCTGTGGCTGGGATAGGGCAGTTTGCTATCTTTGCCAGACTGGAGCAATAACCTCTCTCGGGTGCCTCAGCATGACAGGTAAGGTGAGGAGAGGGGACATGAGGGCTGGGTGATCATTAGTCAGGAGAGGAGGGCATGAGTTTCCTGAGGTGAGACTGGTTGTGATGCATCAGCCTTCATCCTAGATTTCAGGAAGCCTCTGAACTGTTCCCCGTCTCTAGACAGATCCCCCCATCCTGCCTGTGCCATGTGCAGGTATGTATCCAGGTTCTCCCGTGCAGCGCCTCAGGAAATGTCTTACTTCCTCTACCTTATGTTTGGGTGTCCTACAGCAGCACATTTTCCTTAAGGACTAACCTCAGACTCGGCTGCTATGTTAGAAATCATTGTGCCTTGTTCTAAGCCACGTAGGTGCTGACCTGTTGGCAATTTGTGCTGAATACCTTGGCCCCCATCCCAGCACATAATAGCTCAGGGTAGGGCCTTGGGCAGACAGGAGGTGTCAGGTAGCCCACTATTATCCCAATGCCAGCCTGCTGCCCAGCTGCCTTCATTTAAGAAGAATCAGCATTTGTGTTTCAGCATGACTCTTAACTCTAGGTAGGGCCAGGAGAGAGGGAAGAAAATGAAACACAAGCACAGAGCCACTATTCTATCTGTCACCAAGTCACATGTCAAACAGTGAGGTGGGCAGGAGTGAGGTACACGCCTGCTGGGTTGAGTTGAACTGGAAGACCTGGTTCCTCAAAGGAGGGCCCTTGACACCAGGTGGTGCTGCTGTTAGCTGTTGCTCTTATAAATCCTTCCCAGGTCTTTCTCTTGGTCCCAGGGAGGCGGCACATTCTCTTCAGCCAGTCTGAGTTCCCAACAATTTTACTTTGCTCAGGAACTTTCTGTCCCAGGGTAGTAGTTCCATTTACCTTCTCTTCCCAGGAGAGTCAGATGGGAAGGAAGAAGCTCCACCTTTGCACACCTGAGGGCAATGCCTGGGCAGCGGCCGAAGGGAACACTTGAGAGCCATCAGGGGTCAGGACACTGAGACTGACAGGGACTCTCAGAAGTTTGTGTTTAGGAAGGTCTGATAGATCTTAAAGGTTGGAGTATTCTCTAAACATTTCAATTTACCTGAACAAAGAACGTACTATCCATGATGCAGTCTGATATTTATGAAAGAATCCCACACAGTTTATACAGCCTTTGAAAAATCATACTTTTACTTGTTCTGAATTGTCCTTTGAACTGTAAGGAGGAGGGGAGTGGTAGGAGGGCAGAGGGGCTTTGGTTTTACAAAGACTCACTCTACTTTTTACCAGCTGAGCAACCTTGGGCAAGTCACTTACCACTTCCTGGACCCAGTTTGTGCCTTTGGAAGTAGGTATGATAGAACTATGATAACAGTGGAGAGTGGGAAAACTTCCACTGGGTACTGCACCTGCTGGTTACAACGTGCCTTTCAGGCCCACAAGAACCCTATTTAGCCCTCTCATATTTTTACAGGCTTGCTCATGGCCCCCCTTGTTTGGTCTTTGGGGTCAGAGTGGACTCAGCTACTCCTGAGCTCTGAGTCAGAAGTGTAAGGTTTTCTTAGACCCTGCCAAGGAAATAAACAGCCAATTAGCTGAAAACAGGTAGATGAGCTTTATTTTGGAAGTTTGTGCTCCTGGGCCACGTTTTCCCCACCCGGAGAAGGCGCTAAGAAAAGACCTCAAGGGAGAAGGGAAAGGGTGGGAGTTTTATATGGCTGGATTTCTCACGGGAGCCAAGGATTGGTTCTTGGTGAACAAAGAAGCAACTTAGCATTGGTGGTTCCTGGTCTGATGTCAGGCACCTCTTCTGGGTCAGAGTTCACTCACCATATTACTTGTAGTCCAAACAGTGGCCATATTTGTAGTCCAAAATGCTAATTGTAACTAGATTCCCACTTGTCCTACCTCGCCCATCCTGACTAGAAGCATTGACCTCAGTCCTGCTGTGCCCCATACCAGCCATGTGCTCCTGGGCAAGTTACTTTGTTTTTCTGAGTTTCAGTTTCCTCATCTGTAAAATGGGGAAAATACAGTCTGTTTCA